CCTGTGACACGAATTTTCTACGAGCATCGATGAATAAATCGACGCAGTACAAATTCCGTCAATAACGTATCAGCGATAGACGAAACTGGTCCAGGCAAACGGGAATAAAACGAGAGACGAGGTCAGGAATCGTCCGTGGCACGAAGCGTAAGCGAGAAATGAAATAAGAATGTGACCAGAGATCGTGTTCAATCTTCCGCGAGTTAGCCGTGACGCGGAAGAAGTCGCCAGTCAGCGGACGACGAAAGGCGGGCTTTCTCCGGTAATTTATTAAAATCCTCGTCACCCGTCCTACCCGTCATTCTGCTCACACGACCATGAGAAAGCCCCCGTTTTCAACCCTCTCTCTCTCCCCGGCCCCAAAAAGAGTAAGAAGGAGGCAAGAAGGGGAAAGAGAAACGAGCAGAAAGAAAGAAAGCTAGAGAAGGAAGAAGACAGTAGTCGGAAAACGAAGGAAGGCTTTTATGCGCAGGCCAGCTGGCTCAGCACGACAAAAATTCTTTCAATTACAGAAAAGCGAGTTCTCCTTAACTCCCCGGGCATCGATATTCATAGCGAAGCGTGTTACGTAAAAGTTACGACGGGATTCGTGAGAAAAGGAACGAAAGAATACGAAGAAGGAAAAGAGGAAGAGGAGGTGGAAGAAGAGGCATGGATGCGGATCAGGCTGCAGCCTGGTTATAGGCACTCGAATCCGGGGGTGGTAGCGCGAAGAGGGTGGAAAAGTATAACGGAACCAAGGGGACGGAGAGAAGAAGAATTGGGCAGCGGTAGTAGCAGCTAAAGGTAGAGAAGAGAGGTGGGTGGGATGGTGATGGCGGTGGAAGGGGTGGGATAGCGAGCAGAGGCTTGATTGGAAAGGACAGCCTATCCGCAATTTGCGAGCCAAGAGAGGGGAATAGGAGGTGAGAACTCGCTTGTCTTTCATCGAGACTTTCTTTCCCTCCTTTTTCTTCACCTCCACAACCATCTCCAATCCCGCACCATCTTCCCTCGCCACCCTTCCCTTCGTCTTCCCCGAGTTTTTTCTATTTTCCATCCAACCTCCACCCTCTCTGTCTATCTACGCAACCCCTTTTTGCATTTCAAGGGAGAGTAAAGGCAACCTCTCTCTCTCTCGTCCAATAACCCACACAGCAAGAGAGGCGATGCTGCTCTGCCTCTCTTATCCAGATCCTTTGGATTCATTGCTCCGGTCCTCGTCTCGTTTGGATATTAACCGGCGCGGGGATAAACGGCCCCGGTGATTCTAATGAAATATCGACACC